CTGGGATAAATCCCTGCCTGGAAGCAGCCAGGATGACATTCTCTGCAGACGGTTAATCCTCCGCAAAACGTCCCTCCAGCTAAGCTGGGCAGCGGCTGGCCAGGTGGGAGGGTCTGGGGGGGCTGCAGCGGGGGACAAGGTCCAACAGCATCCGACGGAGGGCGGGGAGCATCCCCCAGGAGCCCAGGGTGGGGGCTGTGGGACCCCCTGTGATGCTGGACACAGACATCACCCCGTTATGAGTGTGGGGGACATTGAGGGGGGTCCCTTTCCCATGCAAATATTTTTTCCTTTTTTTTCTTTTTCCTTTTTTTTCCCCCCATTTTTCCAAAGAGAGGGCAGCAGTCAGTAAATCTTTTTGCTCTTACCTGGTCCAGCTCACTAAGAGACAGTGTTCAGTTATAATTACGGAAACGTTGTGGGGTTTTTTGCCTGGATCCTGGAATCTCCCGCACGCAGACCTGCTGGGAAGCCTCCTCAGGTGCACAAGCACGGTCCCATTTTTGTCCCGTTCAGACCAGAACAGGACCAGGTTCCCCGCTGGTCCTGCCCTCCGAGCATCCTCAGGCGGGTTGGCAGAAACCGCTTCCTCCAAGTCACGCATCAAATACCCACTTTTTCCCCACACCCGAGCTACCCCTTCTTCCCAGGACTATTTCGACTCTCCGGGACACCCATCTGGCTTCTTTTCTTAAAAAAAACCCCAAATATTTCATATCAGGGCCAGTTTTGGTGTTACCCCTTCTGTTCCTCCTCCAGAACTCCCCACGTGTCCCGAACGGCACAGCCAGCCAGCGATGTACAAAACCACCTATGTTTTCTCTCCACTTTACCATTTTGGGGCAAAACGGGGCAGTTTCAGGTCCCTGGGCACAAAGGTCCCTGGGCACGCCGCACTCCTGCTTCGTGCAGCCGCTGGTTTCCAAGTGATGCCAAGGCTGCAGAATAAATCCTACGGGGGTGCTGGCATCAGGAACGTGACAGCCCAGCGATCCACCTGCTTTGCCTTAGAAAAAGAAAAAAAGAAAGAAAAAAAGGGAAAAAAAGCAAAAATAAAAAAAGGGGAAAAGGGGAAAAAGAAGAAGGGGGGGAAAAAGAAGAAGGGGGGGAAAAAGAAGAAGGGGGGAAAACCCAGTACTTTAGCTCTCATGAGAAGGGGGGGAAAAAGAAGAAGAAGGGGAAAAGAAGGGGGGAAAACCCAGTACTTTAGCTCTCATGCAGCTTAACACAAGGGGACATTTAAGCAGCAGCACGGGACAGCGGCGTGGGGCCAGCCCAGGTCAGAGGACACCGATACGACCTGCAAAAAAGGAATTTTTTTCTTTTTTAATGTAAAAATAATTGCAGGCACTCCACCTGCATCTGAACATTTGCGGTTTTCAAATCGCATCCTCCTGTTCCTCCCGCATCTCTCGGGTCCTCAGCTGAAGCCCAAACGGGGAACGAGGTGGGTCTGACCCCCGGCAAAACCGAGCTCCGAGACCTGCCGGGCTCCCTCGCTCCGGCTTTGGGTGAAGATTCTCTCCCAAGACAAATTGTTTAATTTGGGCCGTTAAGAGTCGAGCTTTCCACCCTTATTTCCTCCAGTTCTGCAAACCACGCGGGTTTGACGCTCCCTCTGCAAATACATGAGGACACCAGCGAGGAATCTGGGTTTTCAGCCAGCTCAGAGGCACACAGAGGCCAGAGCCATCCAAGAATTAAAAGAGAAAATTGTTCCGGAGAAAACAAGTGAAATATCCCCACAGAACGTAAACGGCCACAAAACTGCTCCTGCCACCCACCGGAGCCCCCGGGAGGCAGCGGGGTCCTCACCCGACAGGGACCAGGCTGGTTGGAGGTGGGTTTTGGGTGTTTGTTTTTCAGAAGTGAGAATTAATTAAAAAAAAAAAAAAAAAATCAGCGGAGTGTGTGGTGCGTGAGCAGGGTGATGGGACAGCGGCGCTCACCAGGCTGATTTTCCACCCAAGGTGAGAGGAGCGGAGCCGGCAGCCAGCTGGTTCCAGATGTTTCCCAGCTGCGATGGAAGAATTGAGAAATTTTCAATATCACACAATTTTCCTCGATGGCAACCCATTAGGTATCGACAGAGCGTTGTCACCGGTTCAGGAGATGCGTTTGGGACTCTTTTATTCCCTCTGAACTTCCAGAAGCAGAAAACGCGGATATTTGATTTCCTGCCCGTGAGCTGTGATCCCAGGGGAGACGATCGGGGATGCGAGAGGGTGTCTGCGCGTCGGGCAATTCCCAACTTACCTGTGAAATGGGAACAGGAACAGCGAGGCCAGCGGGGCACTGTCCCTCGCGCCAGACATCTACCCACATCAAAGAGAAAGAAAGAAAAAAAAAAAAATCCCAACACGCTGGAACAAATCCCGGTACGGCAGCAGGACCAAGCTCGGGATACTGGGAGATGGGGCACAGCCCCCTGCTCCAAACCTGAGGAGAAACCGGACTCTGGTCATTATTTTAAGGGATTAATTCTGCAGGGAAGCGCCGAAAAGGCAGCAGCAGACACCAGTGATGCTCAACAGGATCTCACGTTTATTATTGAGAAGTGATTAATGGTGAAAAGAAAGGCAACGCCCATTCCTCGTTGGCTTAACAAGAAACTGAAGAAACATATTCACTACACATTTTACAATATTTTTTTTTCTTCGTTTTGTCCAAAATTCATTTTCCTGTAAACAAAACAAGTTGTTTTTTTTTTTTTTACCACTGTTCTCAGCTTTCAAAAATCAAATTAATCCAGACTTAATCTGTAAATCCGTATAATGCACAAGAACAGAACATTTCTTAGGACTCCTAGTACTTGACTTTTGAGTAACAAAGGGTCAGAAAAAGATGAACCACCTTCAAGACACAACCTCGTGGACAATTTCTGTTCAATTCTTCTTAGGCCAAAAACCCCGACTTCCTCGTAGAATTCCTCCTCTTCCAGGCCAGGGTGGGGAAAGAAAAAAAAAAGTTCCTCCACTTTCCGTGGTGGATGTTACAACTCGGTGTTCCAAGTGCAAATGTCAAAACCAGGGGAAGGAGGCGCGAGGGGGTGGAAGGAAGGGAAGCGGCGGGGTTTAAAAATTAGAGAAAAAAAAGGCATATGCCACTTACGGACTTTAAAATCCGAAAAAACATAGTAAAAAGACAAAAACCAAAGCGTATGCTCTGAAATCACAACCAAAGCCAAAAGAAAGGGGACAGTTTTTACCTATGCTCTACCTAGAAGGGATTTTTTTTGTTGTTTTTGTTTTTTTAAAGTCCTATGTCTTGTGAAATTCCAATACTCTTTTTTTTTTTCTTTTAAACTGCAAGTTTGTCAAGAGTCTTTTTGAAGTCAATGAAATTAAGAAAAAAAAAAGTCCTAATTCTCTCCGGGATATTTTTTGCTCGTTCTTTCTCTCTGCTGCAGTCTCCGGGGGGGAATAGCCTTTTACTTGACGCGGCCTTGGCGTTCCTGCAAAAGAAGAAGAAAGAAGAACATGTTAGCTCAGAGAAATTCTACTTCATCGCTTTCAGACATCAGCATTTCAACACGTGGCTCCGCGATGGAGACTGTCCCACGGAGTCCAAGGAGGAGGATTTTTGTCTGCACAGGGCTGGTGTGATGATGCAGGACGCTGCCGGGGTCCAGCAGCTCCGCACGTTCCCCTTTCCGAGGGCTGTCGATGCCCCAGCTCCGCTCCCCGTCCTCTCGCAGCATCCTTCAGCAGAGCTCAGCTCTCCGCAGGACAGACAGACATCACCGGGCTGCTCCAGGCTGGAGGTTTAACAGGATGAAGAGGGACGGGAAAAAAACCCCAAACAACCCAGAGGACAAACTGAGGAAGAATTGGTGAAACAGGGGAAAAAAACCTCAGTCTAGGTCTGTGCGGAAGTTTGCAGCCACAGCCGGTGCGGGCTGGGAGCGCGGTGACAAAGGTCCCCACTCCTGGGCACCCACCAGACATCTCGGCCATCGCCGGGCTGGGACCAGCAACGCAGAGCTCTGGGCTGAGAACAACCGGGCAGATTTGGGAGCAGGACTCGGGACGCAGAGAAAAATCGGGAGTGAAGCTGAGCCCGGAAGAAGGGAGGGGTGGGGGGAAGGTGTTTTTAAGATTTGATTTTATTTCTCATTATCCCACTCTGATTTGATTGGTAATAACTTAACTGTCCACAAGTCAAGCATGTTTTGCCCATGACAGTAATTGGTGTAATGATCTCACCCCGTCCTTATCTCATCCCACGAGCCCTTCGTTACATTTTCTCTCCCCTGTCCAGATAAGGGGAGTGATGGGGAGGCTCTGGGGGGGCAGCTGCCCCCCAGCCAGGCTCAGCCCACCGCAGCATCACAGCTATGTGCAGCCCAAACCTAGGGAGCACCGATGTCCACATTGGTCTGCGGGGACTGAAACAGCCCGCAGCTACCCACAGAACACCTCACTGTTAACTCTGAAACCTACTGATGGCACCTCACTTGAAAACCAACATGTTCACAGGGGTTTTGCACCAACTGCTACCAGCCCCTCAGTGTCCATCCACGTCTCTCCTCCAGCACTGGAGGAACGCGCTGTCCAGACACACGTTTGCACCAAGTGCCACTGTCCCTTCTCTGGCAAACCCAAACAGAACCCAGCAGCTTTGCAGACATGGGTCTAGACTATCCCAAAGGGTTAAGAGACGCTGCCCGGCCCACGTTCAAAGTGCTGTTTCCAGATCATATGACACCACCTCAAAAATAAAACCTGTCAACACCTAAAGGGCTCTTGGCCGATGCTCCTCCCTGCCTCTTCACCACATCTCCTCTGAGCACGGGCAAGTCCCTGCAGCCTCCTGCGTGAGGGACACTCCGGGTTTGGCTCTGGCTCCTGTGCTCAGTGCTAGAGTTAATCCCCACCTAAGCCAGGCCCAGGAGACGCCAAGTCCCGTCCCACCTCCACGGCAAAGCAACAACTGCAGTAGATGCCTGCTGGCAGGACAAGACAAGGTGGGTTGTCCCTTGCGTTAACCCATGTCACTTAGAGAGAAGGGACACTGTTAGGGCCCTGAAACGGAAATCTGGTTGTTTCATCTCAGGATGCTTCCCCGTGAGCCTGCTGCTCTGCTGGGGGCTGTGTCCCCAACACCAGGCCAGCAGCAGAGCTGCCTGCCTCCCCCTGTCTCACGTTAACCTGGTGACCAGAGACACCTTCCCTCCCACCCACGTTAACCCGGTGACCAGAGCCACCTTCCCTCCCACCACGGCAGCTTGCTGGCACAGGGAGCACACAACCTCGGCCAGAAGGAAGCATGTCCTCCTCCACCACTGCTAAATCTGGGGAGAGCTCATCTCCGAGAAGCTTCCATCCCAGGCTAGCAGTACGTACAGCCACCTATCTTAGAACCCTGCCCAAAAAGGGAGGCCACGCACCCAGCCCCAAACAATACCTGGGCTTTGGCAGCCCCTGGTGACCCAAGGAGGCTCCAGCTCCTCTGCGTGAGCTGGGCGGCAAAGCCAGCCCTGTTGATGCCACGCACCAACTGCCTTCTGGGGAGGGGCAGTAGACAAAGGCGCCCACTCCCTTCAGGAATATTTGCCCCCTCAAGTCAATTTAATTCTCCCCTCCTCTGGTAAGTCTGCCCAAATCTGTCACAGGTGCTATTCATTGCTAAAAACATTGCACAACGGGAAAAAAAAATAAAATAACCCTGCCATGGTGGGAAGCAAAGCCAGTCTTGAACACAAAGTCAAACAAGCGCTGCAGGGAAAGCCACAGATCAACAGGAAGGTGCCAGCTCTGTTCCTGCTCTGCTGCCTGGCTTGGCAGCTGGCACGTTACGATAAACGAGGACAGATGGCAACGGGACACGTTCCTTTGGGAAGAAGCTGCAACTGCCTGAGCTAATGCCTCCGTCTTCCCGCACGCAGACACAGGATAAGCCGGTTGCCAGCTTCAATCGCCCTGCTCTCCGTCAGCAGCCAGGACAAGTGTCCCAGGCTGGCTGGGGACAGCGGCCGAGGGTCCTGCTGAGTATGTCACCCCCTTAGCAGACCAGATGGACCCTGATTAGTCGCTTCTCCTCCTGCTGCGAAGGTGAAGCTGCTCCAGAGGCCGGTGTACGGCTAACACAGGGAGCAGGAAACAGGATCCAGCCTCGGTGCAAAAATGACCCTCTATTCACAATCCCGGTATGCCAGAAGGCACCACCCTCAAAAGAGAGACCAGAAGAGATGTCCCCAAGCGAGAGAGGGGACAAGAGACATGCCTGAAGGGAACATCTTAATTCCAGGGGTGATTATAGCCATTTTTCTCAACCCAGTCTCCTGTTTCAAACCTCCTGCTATTCAACCTCAAAATACCAGCATAGAGATACCCACTCCCCTCCATCAGCGCTGCAAACAGCATCCTAAGGAACAGAAAAACACAGCGTGACATCCAACCACCCCTGCTGCGGGCTCTCGAGGGGCCAACCTACCTCGGGCCGTCCTGCCCTGCCCTCCCAAGAGTGGGGCTTTGGGCCCGGCCGAGCCTCCAGCCCAGGAGACACCCAGCCAAGAGCTCTGCCCGGCCGAGCACCGCTGCCCAGGGCTCAAAGGCAGAAAGAACCAGCTCTTCGCTCTCCACCGAGTTCAATATTGCTTTTCTTGCTCCTCTCTGTGAGATTCACAGCCGCTCTCTTGTGCCTCCTCCTAGGAAAGGGGGTAGGTGGGGCCCAAAGGGTTTTTACACCATCTAATCCACACGCCCGACTGCAGATCCACAAACACAGCAGGGTCCTGGGGGTGGTGTGGAGCAGCAAGCACCCGAATCACAGCAGAGCAGCAAACCTCCACCAGAACACAGAGCAAAGATCAGCGGTGCTGCAAACGTTCATCCTGCCCGGCTCAGCCCCCTCCGGAACCATGGGCTGTGGGATGGTGGGACCCCCGTACAGCCCACCCGGCCACAGGACCGCCCACGGCAGAGCAGCATCTGCACGCACACGCGGGGCTGTGCTCCAGCAGCAGTCCCTGGAGGACAAAGAGGTTCCCTCAGAAAGTGGCTTCTTCTCTTTGGCTGCACTTGCACTAGACCTGGGCCGTCTCTTATTGATCCATGCGGGAGGAGCAAGAAAAAGACCCCGGCTCGGACTCATCTCCACCCATCAAACCCCTCGGAAGTGGAGGGGCAGGAGCGCGGCGGCACCAAAACGGCTGAAGTGCCGAGCGACACGCCGATGACTAGCACGACACATGCCATCGTCGCATCCAGCGCCGACACCCACACATCACTGCGAGCGTGTTCCCGAGCTGGCGGTGCTCAGAGCCAATGTGCAATCATCCCGCTTAAACCACTTCAGGCACGTCACCGCCATCCCCGGGGGGCTGCAGCAATGTCAAAAGCAAGGTCCTGATAATAGCAACCGAAGAAGGAGCTGGTGGGGAAGGCTGATGAGAGATTGCGTTATCTGGTCACGCCATGGGGAGCCGACAACAAAAGGCTCAAGAGTTCGTATGGAGAAATGATGACTATGGGCGATAACGCTGCACAGTTGTTCAGAGGCTCTTACCCTCATTAATAACAAACATTCAACCTCACCACTCCTCCGCAAAGGTAAGGACGATATTGCCACACTACAGGTGGGGAAAGAGCAGGCTGCAATCTGAGGGAGGGTCTGGAGAAGAACCAAGAGCCGGCTCGCAGCTTCGCGGCACCCAGCCGGTGTTTATCCGCATGGTCCGACCTGGAGCACGGCGCAGCAGCCTGGGGACAGCAGGCAGTACAGGAAACTGTCTCGGGTCCAGACTGGGAAGGTCCGGCAAGAAAGAGGCATTGCTCGCCCAGGACCTGCCCACAGAGGAACAGCGGGAGATCGCTTCATGAGGGTACGGTCTATGCCATCCCATAACATTCCCGAAGGACCGGCACACCCAGCAATCCAACGCTGGCCTTCAGACACTTGCAGCTCTCGCTCCACAGCCCGACTCGGCCCGCGACGCTTGCTGCAACGATGGAGTTTTGCCGTTTGAGTTCTCCGCCCGGCGCGCTGGATGCAATCCCAGCAAACCACGCAGCGGGATTTCCATGTGCCCGTGTCTCCAAGGCAAACGTCTTGCCTCACAAAGCAGGAGTTAGGGCAGGCTGGTGCCCCAGCACAGCCTCCCAGCAGCATCGGCTCACGGCACAGTCACCACAGACGATGGACGACGCATCATTTCATTATACTCCTCTGCACCACAAAGAGCCTCGAGCCCTAACTGATTTACAAACCAAACCTGAGGTTTTCCTGTTCCCAGCATGAGAAAAGCCAGAGTTACAGAGAAGAGCTACCTCCTGGTCTGCCTCGCCTAGGAAAGAGGGTAAAAATCAGACGCAGGGATCTCGTTATAGTCAGACACCTCCATCCTGCCTCCTGTTCATGTAACAGAGCTCACCGCCACGAGATACGCAAATAAAAGTGACTCTCGGTCAGAGCAGGAAAGACCTTTTGTTTTACAGATCAATCCCAAAAATC